GGTTTTCCCATAAATAACGATTTTTTACATTTTTGGAAGTTTAACGCCCTCTAGCGTGAAAACTATAAACAATTTGACAAAATAAATGCCACCATTCGATTTCTCGTCACATTTTACATCATATTCAATTAAAATACCTATATCGAATTTCTGTGAAAAAATCTGTGTATATAACCATAGGCAGGGTTTGGCAAGGTTCTTTATAAAATGATAAGTTTTGTTAAAACACATTCATTACTGGTTTCAACATACTGTATACTTACTGTACACCAAATTCTGTATGTTTGCAGTTCTAACACTAAAACTAAAACTCTTTTTCATTGTATTGTATATAAAATTTATAAATATAATTTATATATTTTAAACTACTGTTGCCTTTCATAATCAGTTAAACTGATTCAATTTATCACAGACTATGTCTACTAGACATTGATTAAATTATAGTCAAAACAACTTAATTGAGAAAATAAGTATAAATTCTATAATTCTGTTGAAAACGTTTAACTTTTTAATTTAGAGTAAACTTATTCATAATTTCAGGGTTAATTTACTCCAAATTACTTAATTCACAAATAAATAGTGAAAATCTCAATAAACACTTCCGACTTGACTTTTGTGTCATAATTTTGTGACTATTTGTTAGGAAGTCAATGTGGGAATTGCATGATCATTAAGTACACTGGTCCATTTCCAATTCAAGTAAGTCACTTTTACTCCACATTCCACAAGGAATTGTGTATTTCTAAACTTTTTTTGATAATTGAGTGCAAATAAAGTTTGAAAATTAAGTGCAGAGAGAGAGAGAGAGAGAGAGAGACTCATCCGTACGACACATCTTATCTCGTGATGACTAAGTAGTCATAAGTTTCAAATGCAACTCATATCTCACGGATGAGTGAAACAAATGGCGAAAATATAGGCGAAATAAATGGGGAAAACTTCTCAACTGTACCCCAAAAATATACAAAAGATTTGTGAGAATTGCCACAAAGAGTGTTGTGAACCGAAAAAAACTTTTCTCATGGCTTAAGAGGTGATTGACTCATGCATTGCATCGGATATGGGTTACTATTGCCACCATAGATGGCGTTCACAATAATTAAAATCATAAATTAGTTAAAATTATCGCTCTTATAAGACGTGACATAAGTCCCCACAAAATGCCCCCAAAACTAATTCAACAAAACAGTAATAGCTGTAAAAGCCAACACTACTCCCACGCGTTTCGTAACAGCATATGTTAACATTCATTACATACTTTGTTACGTAAGTAGCGCCACTCGCAACAAACGTGACACCGGGCGGTGTATGCGTAGAGAGAGTGCTGGGAGGGGGTGGGAGCGCTGGCATCATAGACGGGGTTTGGCATACGAGTTGAACGCTCGGGGCTCGTGAGTGGGTGCGCGACTGGGGTGGCAAAGCCGGCGCCGCACGTCATGCGTGTGTGGCTGTGACTGCGTGCCGACCAATGGGAGCCTCGTATTGCATATAAAGGTTCAGCCATTTTGTGGGTTAAGGAGTGCTTTGAGAGAGTGTTAGACAGAGAGAGAGAACAACAATACGTGTGAACACAACACACACGCAGACAGACACCACATCCCTGTCCACCACAACATCCATTGACAACATCACTATCGCTGGTCCCCACCATCCGAGTGCCGGCCCAACGCAGACACCTCTTGAGACACGAGTGACGACCGGACGGTGCCCTCCAAGACATCGCACGTGTGGTCCGCAACCAAACACACCATTCAGTACTCGGTATGTCTTATAGTCGCCGTTCACCTGATCCCTGACCCCTCCTAACACCCTATTGTCGTACAGTGTGACGAACTGAAGACATCTGAAGATAATGTCAGAAACAGCTGAGACTAACGGCAAAGAACAGCCGCCAAAGAAAGTCGTCGGTAAGTGATGGGCACCGGTAGGCGCCTACGTATAGGCCACTCGCGAGTGTTGCTCAACGGTGTCGTAACCACTGATCCGTTGTCTCATTGCCTTACAGCGCAGCGAATCCAAGGAACCGTTAAGTGGTTTAACGTGAAGAATGGCTACGGTTTCATATCCCGCAACGATCGCGACGGAGAGGATGTCTTTGTCCATCAGGTCTGCCATTGTGTTGATGTCATTGTCGACTGAGTTGTCATATGTATGGCTATTGTCTCGCAAACAGTCGGCGATCGTGAAGAACAACCCGACGAAAATGGTTCGCAGTGTCGGTGACGGAGAACAAGTGGAGTTCGATATCGTCGAGGGCGAGAAGGTATGTCCACAACACACACACACCTGTCCACCACTACCTGTCCACTCACTCACACGACGTGTTTGTTTGGCGCGTGTCTTGTAGGGCAATGAGGCGGCGAACGTGACGGGTCCGGGCGGTGTGCCGGTGAAGGGCTCGCCGTTTGCAGCCGAGCGGCGCTTCTATCAGAGGGGCGGCGGCGGCAGAGGCCGTGGCTTCCGAGGCGGTGGCGGCGGCGGAAGAGGTGGCTTCCGGAGGGGTCCGCCGAGAGACCGGCGCGACGACAGCGGCGGCTACGAGGGTCAGCAGCCCTTCGTCGACGGCGAACAGCGCTTCGGTGGTGAGCGCCGACAGGGAGGCGGAGGTCGCGGCGGCGGTGGTGGCCGGCGACCCGTCTACCGGCGTTACTTCCGACGCCCACCGCGCGATCATCTGCCCAACAGTGAGGGCCAGGAGGGCGACGACGGACAGCAACAGTTCGGCGACAATAACTTCGGTGACGGCCAACGCCCGCGTCGTGGAAGCGGTGGTCCGCGACGGTTCACCAGACGCTTCTTCCGGCGCCGCCCACACAGACCCCGCTCTGACACTGAGGGCAGTCAGTCGGGCGTCGATGGCGAGGCTTCTGGGGTGAGTGCACTGGACTCATGTTTTGGGCGCTATTTGTATTGACGCCTAATTGTGTGCCGTATGTCTAGACTGAGGGCAGGGCTCACAAGTCGGAGGACAACGACGAGGATGGACAGGGAGGTCAGAGGCGTCGTCGCACCGGTGGTTTCCGACCGCGTCGTCGCCAATACGGTGGACAGACCGGCAATCGGGGTCCGCGCCGGTCGTCTCGAGGAGGCGGCGGCCGTAAGTCTGAGGGCGAGGGCGGCCCCGGGGGTGACGAACAGGACGTGGAGAAGGACTTGTCGGACAGCAAACCTAAGGGACAGTCTAACGAGTCTACCATAAAGGCTGAGAATTAATTGAAAATCAATACAACCAATCGTTTTAATCAATTAATATAAAAACACTTTGAAATGTTTGCGAAAGTCTCAGACTTTATGTAATCTTATATCGATTTTTTGATTTATAACAAACACTAATTGTAATCGTATTTAGATTTAAGACAACAATTATATCTGTAACTATCGATTCACTACACAACAACTGTTCACTTATAAACAAGTTTTATTATATCGAGACTTAAACCCTAAAACTTAAAAACACCAAACAATACAATTAATATCCAGAATATTAGCGGACATTTCTGTGTGTCTGACTGTCTGTTTGTAACCAACAATTCAATACAATATAATTATTAAAAGCGAGACAACAATTGAAATATAAAAATTAAGTTAACAATATTTATACACTTATGAACGAAATAAAAGCTTAAAATTTTCACTACAAATGCATAATGTTTTCCAATTCTGTAATACAGAGGGAGGGGTAGAGAGCACTCTCTCGGCTTTAACTTGTTTTTACGTCTGAATAAATCGGAAAACCTTTTGATTTTCAAAAACTAAAGTATTTGATTTTCTTTACTCGTATTCACGGTTTGTAGGCATATATTGTTCAATACTGTAGATGTGAACGCACTCTATGCTAAGGAAGTGTATGCTATTCAATGAGACCCTGTATATCAAAGACAATTAATTTGCAAATTTAAATTTCGTTTTATCATGAGATATGAATGATCGAGATCATTTCTAATAGAATTGAGATGTTAAGAGGTTTAGCAATTTTCTAGGATATCATGTTTTGCTTATTTACAAAACGATATATTTAAGCATTCATAATATGGCATCATTAGAATTGTTACCGTATCATATATATATTTTTAGCATAGGCAGGACTGGTAGCTATAAATACCCGCACCACATATTTAATTGCATAATAATATTGTTTACTTCAAAATATGAAACAATATTTTCAAGGATATATTCAGTTATACTTATATCGGTATTCTGTTAATGCAAAATCAATAAATACAATATTACTATATATTCTCCCAATTATTTCAATACAAAATAGATAATACCGGTAATTTTATAAATATTCTGTTACATTATAAGAATTAAATTAAAAATTTTGTGAAATATAATACACGAAATATTTTTAAATAAGCCGTCGAAACGAGATGTTTGTGAGTTAAGTCATGTATACATTTAAAATTACTTTGCTTTTAAAATTAAATTCAATATCTTATCACAAATTGGAAAAATTCATGTAAATCTTTTTATTATGGAAAGTCTTACTAAAAGTGTAATAATATTTACTCTTTTTCATCAAATAAACTAATTTCAAAGAAAGTATAAAAATATTCTTGAAAACGAGTCAAACATTAAAATGAATTCTCAATGAAAAGTGTGAAAAGTAGTGGAAAATTCCTACTCATATGCACTGCGAGTCGCAAAACATAATTACGAAATGCATTGTTTGGGTGGTGGCATAGCCTTGACATCCCGTTCCCTCACATGAGTTGTATTGATCCAAAACATTGTGAGTGAATCTCTCACAAAGATTCTCGACTTTTCCTGGAATAGGGATGCCTACAGAATACATACATTGTATGAGACGAGGGAAAGGAGGAAAGGGGTCGCAATTATGTGGGGGTCACTACTGTTTACTGTTTTGCCTCAGTTTTGGATTTACATTTAAATGTGTTTTCAAAATATTCTCTGTTTATCACAGAATATACACTATTTTTACACACGTTTATGAGGTTTACAAGCATTTGTTATACCTGTATAGCACTTTGCAGTAGAAAATTACTGTAGAATCTGAATGATAACAATTTATGAGGTTATTTAAGTACTTATTAATGCAAAATTCTAAAACTTAATTTTAAGTATCAAATTTGCTTTATCATTATTATTATTGCAATAAATTATGTTTTAAGATTTACGATAAATTAATTAGAAATTATTATACAATTTATTGATAAGAAAATCATTATGTGTTATAAATAAAAGGGAAAGTGTTGGTAAAAACATTATGCAATATTTGGGTTTAATTCAAATAATTCTAGACATTGAATGGTATTTCAAATGACTTTTTTATTTTCTAGAAAATAAATGATTATACAGTATATATCAAAAGATATTTTCATAGAATATCAGTAAATATAAAATAAACCCTTAATATAAAAATCAAAATTATAAATTGGCGAATATAGTTGTATCGGATTTCATTGTATTTCATTATAAATTAATATCACATTAAAAAAGTCATTGAATTTTTTGTAATTACAGCAAAAATTCAAATGAAAACTAAATGATTACAAAAAATTACTACAAAATGATACGAAAAACTAATTACATATCAAATAAATGTTTGAAAAATAGTTTTCGTAAACAATGATATCATTTTGGGTATACGACTCGAGTGCTACTCATCTACTGATGCTAGTGGCCCGGGATCACTACTATACAAATGGTTGGCCAGGGATGCCATACGCCTAGAAGCGAGGTCTGGGGTGTTGGTAGTTTTCGTGGTCGATGTTTGACCTGAATTTGTACTGTTTGTGGTCAAACTGCTGCCACGGCTCGGGGTTGGCCCGGGTCAGGATGGCGTCCGGACTGTGCACAGTATGGTAGGCGCAGATGGCGGCCATAGTGGGCACCACCAGAAACACGGAGCCAACGTTACCCCAATAACGAGGGTTCTTCTTCAACAGTGTCCACAACCGACTCACGTTGAAGTCAAACTTGGCCGGGGTCATTATTACTTGGTTCGGTAGCACATGCATGTTTGCACTGGTAGTTTATGTCTATATTTTAAAGAATTAAGATTAGAATTTAATTAAAATTATTATTACAAATACTTTAAGAAGTTTTTAAAAAAATTAAAACAGTTTTTGAAAACTTACCAAAACTTTCAAAATACGAAAAAGGATTTAAGAAAAAAATGTTTTCAAACTTTGAGTTAAAGTCAGTGTTTTTACAAGAGTTCACGAGTGAATGAAACTTCTGGATATGAGTTCGGAGACAAAGCTACCGTTCCTTATATACTGTGGTCGTACGTGATTTCATCGATGTCTCACTATATGAAGTGAGGGGGCATTCAATTTGGAGGCAACGAATCGAGGTTACCATAGCGTTCACTGTATGGATGCTGTGTGATAGCGAAGGGACTGGTAGGGGGAAGCCATGCATTGCACACACAATGTTTTGGTGTTTACAACGCCAGTGATTGGATACTTTTTAGCTCAATGGACCTGTTCCTCGCAGTCTGTGCTAACTATACCATCGAAATGTGTATTATATATCGATGACTACGTGATAAGAGGCACAGTGTTTACAAACATACCGGGCCTCAATGCAATAATAGTCTCAAATTATTGTATGACTAATGCTGTATGCAATTGTGTTTAGTTTCCTTATAATTAACTTTTTAATACCAAAAACTTTTATAAAAATGTGGTCTAAAAAGTTTTATTTCTATTATTCTGGTTAATAGTTTTATGCACAATAATGCTATGGATAGGGGAATACATGTGTGAATACATGAAAGCATATAAAACTTATAAACAGTTGGATTCAGTTTATCTTTATTTCTGGTGAATATTATACACAGAATTCAGACTTCCTCTCAATATTTTGGTGACAAAAATAAATGATTAGAAATATATAATAAATTGATATTAACTTTTAGATTTGAGATAATTCTGTCTCTTGTAAACAAACAATAAACACTAAATTCATAATAATATTGTGATTACAAGTATTTATTTAATTGGTATTTTTAACACATGTTATCAGGGTGGTATATTGAATAGGGATTACAAGGGATTCTAAAATATTGAATAAGAATTGTTTAAATAATTGAAATGAGCAATTGAAAATTTTAAAAATAATTTTTTGAATATATTTTATTTGTTTGTAATTATTATCACCAATATCATATTAGACTTTAATAATTAGAGTCATCCAATTACATTACATTTTTGAAATTTGTATTAAATTACTCAAACAAATAAAACTTATTTTTGAATATATTTTATTTGTTTGTAATTATTATCACCAATATCATATTAGACTTTAATAATTAGAGTCATCCAATTACATTACATTTTTGAAATTTGTATTAAATTACTCAAACAAATAAAACTTAATCTTATAAACAATACTAAATGCTTACAAGTTAGTATATTTGTTTTAATTTTATAACTATTTAATTAAATTATAATTTTTAATTAGTATGGCAGTTTTGATACTTTTTATAGGTAGTCTGAATAAAATTTCTAAAAATTTAATAATTTAAATTGAATAACAATTTTAAATCCAGACTGTCCGCAACAACCTTGGATAACCCCATTGTTTACGTGATGTTACGTAGTATCCAAATAATAATAACGAGTTAATAGTCGTTATAATGAGGTTTAATATACAGTATAACTAAAACAAGTTTCTCAACTAATGATTTCTTAAGTAAATTGAATGATTAGTGATTTTTGTTTGAGCGAAAAGTATTGACAAAAATATTGTTTTCGATTTAAAGTCCAGCAAAATGTATGTCTACTAAATGAATGATAATTTTCACTAAAACACTCATTGTTGTAAATATAAACAAAACTTTGAAAAGTTTGATTAATTTTCAACAAAATTTATATTTAATATAAAACGTGTACAATAAATGATAAGTGTTATTCAGGAAACAATGCATTTATTAATAGCCTTGTTTATATTTCTAAACAGGTGGCCACTAATGTTTATAGCCTGTGAATGATAGGGTAGCGGAAAGTTTTATATTCTGTTGTGAATGCCTCA